ATGCCAGGCATGGTGCTGCAATGCTAAAATACACGTGAGACAAGCAGAGGGAGTCCAAGGATACAAGGGATGGAAAATCATTTAGCTTAATCATCTCAAGCACACTGTTATCTAGTACATGTTATCATTACTAAAACTTTACACAACAACACAAACGTATACAGTCAATACAAATAATGCATCAAACACATATCAAATAATGTACATTCATTTTTTCCTGTTTGCATAAATAGCCACTAAATACAAAGTTAAGATCCAGGATTATTTAATCCAGAATGGAAGCTGGCAAACATAATGACAGAGACTTCCAAATCTGCTGGGGAAACACGTATTTGTAAAGCTGCGGCTAATCATTTGTTTGCCATATGTTAAAACTAGCACATAGATACAGAGGTAGAAAGGAATTCTTTAGCACATGACACAGAGGGTCTACTTTTCTAAAAAACTAATTACAAACAGCAGGGAGAAATCACTATCAAAATAGCTGGCACACTTTTGCAGGTTTGCCTGAGAATACGGATGTCTACACATCCTGGAAACATTATCACTTATATCCGGAATCATACACACGTGTTCAATGTATACGTTACTGACCCCTTTGCTACCATTGCTGTTCAGTCCTTTTACACATAAAAGTTCCCTGGCGGTCATGCTAATCCAATACTTGAGTACTTTGGAAAGACTAGGGATCGGCATGCATTGTGAGTTTTGACTTCACTCTGACTTTTTTGACCTGCATGTTTGTTCTAAGCCAATGTCTCAAACTACTAAAGCTAAGCAACCAGAAATGGAAACTTTACATACATGCAGGATTCATTTAAAGTGACCTAGTTGATTCCCCTGCAAAATGTAAACACTGGCTCCTACAATAAAACACTAGGAATACTTACCTCTCCAGGGGGCTAGCATGTCGGAACTCACCCATCTTCTGACACTGCAGCCTCTGCATGTGCAGTGTGAATCCCTGTGCAAAACATGGGCTATGGCAGCTTCCATTGCTGCCATCAATTTCAAAATGACCTAATTTGTTTCTTAAAATTGTATATTTTCTCAGTTTAAACATCTGATATGTTTTCTATTTTCTATTGTGAATAAAATATGGGTGTATGAGATTTACAAATCATTGCATTCTCTTTTTATGTAGACTTTACACAGCGCCCCAACTTTTTTGGAATTGGGGTTGCACATGAATTAGCAATATGTACACTAAAATGAGTTGTGCAGCCTGGTTAATGAATGCATCGTTAAGACAGTTTATGAGCCTTTAATTAAAAAAGCATCATTGCTATAGAGGTGATCTTTTTTATTGCTACAACAGAAACCTTTTACACACTATTCTCTAAGCAGTTTTGCCCCATTTGGCATTTACTACTTGAGTGCAGATAGGTACTATGGAGCCCTATAAAGAACATCCAGCTGTCTTTATAGAGAGGGACTACTGCAGCAAGTTACCGTATATACTCGAGTATAAGCAGAGATTTTCAGCCCATTTGCCCCCCTCGGCTTATACTCGAGTCAGCGCCAGCGCGTCTTCTTACTTACCTCGCCGAGCGTCGCGTCACTGCTGCTCCGGTGTGCGGTGCTCCGAGCGGGGTCATCTGGCAGTCTCCGGGTCCTAATTTAGGTGGCCGGAGACTGCCAGATGACCCCGCTCGGAGCGCCGCACACCGCAGCAGCAGCGACGCTCGGCGAGGTAAGTAAGAAGAAAAAAAAACCCCCCGCAGCGGCCAGTCAGGCAGGGGAGCAGGGATGAGTCAGCGGCGCGCTGATCAGGCGAGAGGAGCTCCAGGTGGGGTTGTAATTTAGCGGGCAGGCACCTCTGAGCCAGCTAAATTAGGACCCCACCTGGAGCTCCTCCCACTGGACCAGCGCGCCGCTGACTCGTCCCTGCTCTCTCCGTGATGTGATGATCGATCACCGGCACACGGACACAGTGAGTGAGGGGGGGGGGTGGGGGTAGAGAGAGATTCATTAAGCAATTATATATGTATTGTCTGCACTGTATTAGCAGTATATACTACATATAGAGTATATACTGCTAATACAGTGCAGACAATACATTTACAATTATACTAACATGAATGTATTAAATGATCTGTATGTAGCCCTGTACTATGGATCATTTAACCCATTCATGTTAGCAGAGGATCATTGTAAATGTATTGTTGCAGGCACTCTATATGTACATGTACTATATACTACATATAGAGTGCACTGAACAATAGATTTACAATTATCCTCTGCTAATATGAATGGGTTAAATGATCCGTAGTACATGATATGTAGCCCTGTACCCCCTTTTCCACTTACAGAGCTAGGTTATTTTTCTTTTAAATAAATATTAATGTAATTTTATTGGTATCTATCTACCAGTAGCTGCCTCATTTCCCACCCTCGGCTTATATTCGGGTCAATACTTTTTCCCAGTTTTATTTGGTAAAATTAGGTACCTCGGCTTATATTCGGGGTGGCTTATACTCGAGTATATACGGTAATTGATTATTCTGTTTAAGTCCTTGTTCTTCTACTGACCCTTTGGATTGTGTAAAAGTCAGTATGTCCATTACAGGGTTCATGGAGATATGTTTTACAGGCAGTGGGCACAACTGGAAGCAAAGTACTGTGGGCCCACATGTGGGAAAACCCAAAACAACAGGCCCTAGTGCTGCTGTTATTTATAAAAACCCATGTGGAAAAGTAACAAGGCATCTCTTTACTGTCTGGGTATGTTCTAAAATTCCAGTCTGCAACAAATTAAATATTATTGGTAATTTAGTCATCACAAAGCTAACAAGGTAAATTGCACAAGTAGCATTTCAATGCATAACTAAAAACTGTTAAATACAGGGGTGGACAAATTATTATGGACTTCAGGAGCCAGTTTGTCCAATCCAGGAGCCAGCAAGATTTTTCTTTAGGTGCCAGCTCCATTGACAACAGCTAGAGAAACCTCAAACGTTAGCAGCCAGTTGTAATTTTAAAGAACTTTGGCTTCTGGGCTCATGGCATTGGTCCAGCCCTGATTTAATGTATAACAACATGCCTCAAACAAGGAATAAACTTGGAAACGATAAAAAAAATGCAATTAAATATTTCATGGAAATTTTTCATGGAAAAAAGTCAAATAAACAGAACTCTTTTAGATTGAAGCCCTCAGGGGCAGGGCCCTCGTTACCATCTTGTCTTGTCTTGAATTGTATTGTGATTGTAATGTCTTCCTTATATTGTAAAGTGCTGCGCAAACTGTTGGCGCTATATAAATCCTGTATAATAATATTAATAACTCTGTAACAGTCAGTGCACAAGCAGCATGATTACATCCTGTATTGTTCTGCAGAGTTCGCCTCAGTGGGCACCCTCACTGGAATGTACTTAGGAATGCTGTTCAACTTCCTACTTGCCCCAGGCATAACTCCCATGACCTAAAAACCTTGTCAGTGAGAAACGTACAGGAAACACTCTATGCCAGCTTTTACCTTCCCAGGTTATTATAGAAGTGTATCTAAATCCAAGAATTAAAGTGTAATATATTGCGGCTTACCAGTCCTTGGATGTAATGGCTGCATTTCTTCTTTCCAGTTTTTTTTTTCTTTATTTTCACCTGGTGATCCTGCCAGTAACACACTCCCTATCCTAGGGTGAGAACACTCACTTACTGTACTGTATATATGGAGGCAATGTCACCATAAGACAGGTTGTGTGTTGGGACTAGACAGGTTGTGTATTGTCTAGTCCCAACACGCAACCTGTCTTAAGGTGCCCATACACTGCACGATTATCGTACGATAATCGTATGCGATCGGTTTTTCGTACGATAATCGAGCAGTGTGAACGGAGACGTGCGACCGTTTCTACTGTACCAGCATGTTCGAAAACCAGCCGGGAATCGTACGATTCTCGGCTGGTTAGAACGGTGCTCGGAAGACAAATGCCGAACGGGCCGGTGTGCACACGCGCACACTGCCCGTTCACCATTGCGGTCATCGGAAGCCCGCCCCTCAGGGGGGCGGACTTGTGATGATCGAGAGTGCGATCTGCCTGTCCAAGATAGGCAGATCGTACGTTTTTTTAATCCCTGTACAACCATCGCAAGACTAAAGTCTTGCGATGGTTGTAGAGTGTATGGCCACCTTTAGGGTTGTGTGTTGGGACTAGACAACACCTATCATCCCAAAGAATGGTAGGTGTTGTCTACTCCCAACACACAACCCTAAGGTAGGTTGTGTGTTGGGAGTAGACAACACCTACCATTCTTCGAAATTATGTCAGAGTTAAGAGTAGGGCTAGCCTCACTGCGTGGGGAAGTTTTTAAAATGCCCCATGTCCTTTTTTAAGCTGGCCATACACCTTTAGATTTCTCTTGATTACCCCATCAACGCTAAAGAGGGTGGATGAAGTAATCCCTGCTGCCAGCTATTATATTCAGCAGCCAGTGGAACCTGGGGCTGCTACATACCCAAACAGCGACTGCATCTGATTGGCAGCAGTCACTGTTTGGCCTGCAATTTCTTACCCAGGTGGTAACGCGGCCACCGCTCAAGTTTCGGTTGATGCAACAGAAACTTGCAGAAATTGGAGCAGTATATGCCCAGCATTTTGTGTGTATACATTAACCAGGACACCAACAGACACAGCAGTCAAAAGTTGACTGTTATCTAATTAGTATTAGTAAAAGTGCTCTTTTATTAGGAGGTATGTTGTCGTTAAGTTAATAATAATAATGAATGTGTTGGTTTTAATCATGAAATCATTTCTTTTACTGTTAATAGAAAGAAGAAACTGCTCTGAAATGCTTCTGCAACTTAAACACAAAGACTAGATCAAAGTCAGTCATAAAAAAAAAAACCTTGTTTCTAGTACAGATAGTGCAGACTGTTGATATTTTGGTATCCTTATTTCAGTGTATTCCTAAAATATTCTACTTGCATCAAAGGTTCATTTTTTTTTCACTAATCCACATAAGCAATCTGTAAAAGTGTGCACACCAAACTGGCACTTACCCCAAAACTAGTCCAGGCTGTATGTGCACCTGTCGGCTGATTTTCAGAGTCCTTTCATGGAACTGGTTGTCTTCTGTGTCTTCTGACTGCATTAATCTGCTGCACATTAAATAATTCATTGAGTTGACTGTAAGCTCCTCCAGTCAGGAGCGTCTGTTTCTTATTTTCTATAGAACCACATCTCCTGCCACGAATACAGAAGTCTCTGGGACATGTCTTCACAAATTATCTTGAAGCAAGTGTTCTTCTCAGTAGTGAGCAATGTGACAGCAATTTTCAGAGCATCCTTGCGGTTACACACAGCATACTTGTTGGAACACACCTAGAATATCAGAAGTGCACATTAAAACAAGCAACCATTCCCTCATAATTGTTTCACAGTCATTTTATAGCCTATTATTCTTACATAGCAAAGACCACACTAATTACATTGAAATGTGGTTATGTGAGGATTTTTAGAGGTCACATGTTAATAGGATGAGCTTTCAGTATTCAAGAAAAGATTATAGGTCATATTTTATAAGTTGATCATTTTGAATGTTTGCTGGACTGGCAACCTGCTTAGATTTTTCAAGAGGGTCTAGCTCAATGTGTTGGGGGGTCACTTTCTTAATGTATTAGAGATACTGAACCTTTTTTTGCAGCAGAAAATAAACAGACAATGTGGCATAAAAAGATATAGGTACCCGTATACAACACCATAAAATGAATACCTCTGTTCAGTACAATGTGCAGCCATCTTTGGACATGCTAATAGCTGCAATATCACATGGAAGTGAATCAAAGACCTTTTAGTAAACTAGCCATGCAGACATCTGTCCAAGACTGATAGGTTTAAGCCCCGATCAACTTCATCCCTACGGTGGACAGACAAGAAAGCAAAGCATTGTGCATTCTGAATTAGGTAACCTTACCTCACAACTGCATTATGATGTTAGCTGTCATACTGTGAAACACTGATTTGCCATCTTAGCCCAATCCACTCATGTCATGTTCTCCTGCCAACTGAGGTATATCTTGTACTAATCTATTTATTTTTTTCGTTTTGGATGTAGTTATTTCAGCAAAGCATTTGATACGGTTCCACATGATCTCCAAAGCTAAGACTTAACCCTTGTGTGGTTCAATGTATATGCAGTTGGCTAAAGAACAAATATACTTGGCTGTCAATGGGGTTCTTCCAGAACAGAGAACAATAACTAATGGTTTACACCAAGGCTCTCTACTAAGTTATGTTCTATATATTCTGTTAGTAAATTATATAACTGAAGGTTTTGTAGGTAAGGTGTGTCTTTTTGCTGATGACACAAAGGTAAGGTATGCAATAGGGTTAATATTTCTGGTTTGAAATATGGAAGTGTTTGTAACATGGAACATGATTTGGCAATGCTGGAAGATCACTCAGTGCAGTGGAAATGGTAGTTCAAGGTTTCTAAATGCATATTAATGCACTTAGGGAAAAGAGATCCGCTGACAGAGTAAAATATTAAGGGTTCAGTGTTGGCCAGAACTACAGAGGATTTAGGGGTTCTCATTTCAGATGATTGCAAAATAAGCAAACTGTGTGGCCTGGCAGAGGGAAGAGTCAATAGAATTCTGGGATGCATCACTAGAGGGATCACCAGCAGAAGGAAGAAGGTCCTGCTTCCCTATATATATATATATA